GCGGGTGGCGGGTGGCGGGCGGCGGGTAGGCAACCCGCCCGCGGGCGTGCAAGCGCGTTGCCCACCTCCCCGGCGCCCTGCCGCTCTGTCCTCCGGCGCGCCCGGCCCAGCCACGCTGCCTGCTCGCAGACACGACGCCAAAGTTTGCTCTGGCAGTGCTCCCGGGGCTTGTGAGCTGGGCTCCGCCCCGGCGCAGGGGGCGGGTACCGGGCTGCGGTCGCGGCATATGCGGGGATGAGACGGCGCCTCCTTGCTACCACCGATCTCCAAAAGAAAACAAAAACTTAGCCTTTTCATAAAAATAATGCTTATCTATCGGCAATAACAGAGATTCCACGACCCACGACGGCTGGTTTTGCGTATCGCCGCTAAATGCTCGAACTCGAAATGGCGCCCCCCCCCCTTTCCACCACCCGTAGCAACCCCAGTGGTGACCCCTACCATACACCCGCCGGGCGAGCTTGGCGCGCGCGGCGTCAAACAGCCGTCAGGAATGCGTCGAGCAGAAAAGGATTCAGCCACCCCTTTCTGCCCCCGCCAACGCGAGGTGGACAGACAAGGGAAAGGGGAGGCGCCCGGCTGCCATGGCACTACCTCAAAGGATTATTAGCGTCGCCCCGAGTCTTTTGATATAGTACCAGGTCTCGGGTGGTTTCAGGCTGCGCGCGCCGACCCTGTCGCAGACTGTCCGCCTCTTGCCATCCCTCTCGCGGTCTCGTGCGAGTGGGCGGCCCTCACCGCCGCGCCGGGCCCACTCGGCCGTGTCGTTATATACGACTGGGAGAAGGGAGTGCTCCGGGCCGTTATTGGCGTCCAGAGGGCTCGAGGGGGGGGGGGCTCTCTTTCTCACTTTCGCGCCGAGCTAATGACACAGATGGGGATCCGGGAGAGGGCCGCCGCCCCTTCCACCCCGCCACCCACCGCGGCCGCAGAGGACCGTAAAACTTGACGATTAATTCTCTTCGATGACGTAACGCTCAAACATAATGACTCCCGGGCGAGCTGGGCCGCAGCGGGCG